ATATATATATATATATATATATATATATACAGTAGCTTCTCCTCATAATAATTAAGATCACCAACAGAGTGAACCAATACAAGGACATATTTAAAGGAACAAAATGGCTCTGAGTGTGATATATACAATATTATATGAGATACACACACACACACACACACACTGTTAGATTATTTTTCAACAATGTCTTAACTCTGGCCCGATAGATGATGATGGTGATGATGATGATAATACCGATACCTTCTATATAAGATATTTCATCTGATGCTTCATACATTACTTTGCCTAAGTGATGAGCAAAGCATAAAAATAACCTTTTGAGGGCCCTCCTCAGTTAGTTCCTTCTAGGATAGAGCTAAAACTTTTATCACTTAAAGATAGGGTATCTCAGTTCAAAACGGAAATGAGGCTTCATCTTGAGAATTTTTCTTTTTCTTTGAAAAAGTCTCAATATTTGTAATGCCTTTGGTATTCCAAGGGCTAAGAACCTGGTATCTAGCAACATTATGCTTCCCGAGACCTCATTCCCAATGAGCCCTCGTGACTGGAAATGATATGGTGCAGAATCACTCACATGGGTGTGTGGCCGAGTCTCTACCAAGTGTTGTAGGCTGTTCTGTGGGAAGTCTTAAATGATTATAGAGTTAAATCTACTTACAAAGACTTGAACATACTAGTGTTTTTTCCAGCATCTAGAGAGGTCAATGGTTGCTGAAGATATGCAGCCAAATAAATAACTGTGCCCAACTGGGGCCAGCGTTCATCTAGAACGCACCACCAGGGGTTCAGACGGGCCCCCCACAGCTGTACCCGAGAAGTGACGGGCTTCTACTGCCTCTTACCAGCAGAGCATCTCAGCGATAGACAGATTTTTAATACCTGGGCAAATGCCAATTCCAATAACCTTGGACCACTGTGTCCCATAGATGCTGATATTTGTGTGCGTGCGTGACATCAGCTAATCATTATCAAAACAAACTCAGTAGCATTTCCTCCGATTATGGATTATAACCCAAACCTGTGTGAACACTTCCTGGAAATATGTGATGGTCCACAAGTGCAGGAAGGTTAGAGGTGAAGGGTGACGAGTAGGGACCGGGGGTGGCTCAGGAGCAGCACCAGCCAGTGCTGAGGAGCTGTAGGAAGTCTTCGGAAGACAACCTCCACTAAAGCAAGGGAGCTGAGTCCCGCTAGGACTTCTCTAGAGAATAGCCCCTGAGAACTATTCTGTTTTTCAATTATGGATTGCTCTTCTGAACAGTTTCTAATGTTTATAGGAGTAAAGAATTCTTCTGAAGTGAAACAATTAAATTGGGGTTCTCAAGGATCGACCCTAATGGGAAAGCTGTGAAAAGGGGGTGCTGTTGTGATCCCCCTGCTGTATACTAGCTTGTGGCTGCTTTTAATTAAGAGAAAGGTGATGGTTAATCCTGCAGTGGTGCTTACTAAATTAGGCTATTAACAGTTGTAGGATTAATTAGTTGGCCTCCCTCAATCATTCATTCACAGACATTTACTAGGCACTTACTCTTGGCCACTGTGCTGAGAACACAAAGACGAATGAGACCTAGTTCTAATTCAGCCTTAGATTTAAAACAGAATTTTCTTCTAAAAATAAATCACATTCTCCCTGCCCCCACTTGCCTCTGCCTGTGTTTATTATACTTATTTTTTCAGGCATGAACTGGTTACTTCTCTTTGGGAGAGTGATAGTAAATGAGATGACATTTTTTGAAATAAGCCTTATAAATAGATAAGCAGTTTAAGGCGAAGCTTCATAATGAAGCTAATATCTAACTTAAGTGGTAAAGTCTATATTATATATATTGGGAGCTAGATGCTAAAGTGACTCAAAAAAAAAAAAAGACAAGAGTTTGAGAACTTGATAACCAAAAACATAGAATATAAATTTGAGCCAGTTAACAAATTCAGATCTCTAGGCCAGCCGAGTGGCTCAGTTGGTTAAAAGTGCAAGCTCTGAGCAAGTTGCCAGTTCAATTCCTACATGGGCCAGTGAGCTGTGCCAGAACTGAGATGCCGCTGAGCTGCCAACAGGTGGCAGGATGGCTCAGCTGGTGAGAGCACGTGCTCCTAACAACAAGGTTACCGGGTCGACTCCCGCATGGGATGGTGGGCTACACCCACCTGCAACTAAGATTGAACACGGCACCTTGATCTGAGCTGCCGCGAGCTGCCAACTGGCAGCCGAATGGCAACTGGACTTGGAGCTGAGCTAGCTGTGCCCTCTATAACTAAGATTGAAGGACAACAACTTGGCTGTTCCCCTTCCCCAATTCCCCAATAAAATCTTTAAAAAAATTTTTTTTTCAGATCTCATATCTGGAATCTTACTGCCCATTTGGTACAGATCTATAATCTGGGTACCTAAAAATATACCTATTGAGAAATTAAAATTCTATGAAACATGTCATTTTAAAACTCCAACAACTGACATCTTTCATATTGTGCTGGCCAGATTTTAAACAGTTTGACTTACTTGAAGAAATTGGCTCCTGTACACCCAAAACTAATAGAATGTTATATGTCAATTTTATCTCATTTTTCAAAACTGTAAAACAAGACAAAGTGGAAAAAAATTGATTCATGCTCTATGTTTTGAAGATCTATGATGTATTTAAAATTGTTAACATTAATTGATAGATAAATTGGCTTTTATCAAAATTTAAAACTTTTGTGCTTCAAAGGACACTATCAGAAAAGTGAAAGACAACCCACAGAATGAGGGAAAATATTTGCAGATCATATATTCGAGAAGGGACTATTATCCAGAATATGAAAAGAACTCTTACAACTTAATCATAAAAGTAATTATATTACTAATTCGTTAACTTTTGATAGTGCTGCATCTTCTGGGGTATTGTTGGGACAGATGTTGGCTCAAATGTGGGGAAAGAGGACAATTTAGGGCAATAGCTGATCCCTTTCCGGTTTTACACAAGTCTCAGTTCATCCTTGCAGTTCTCCTGGTCAGAAGGGACTGATGGTGGCTGCGAGAGCACTCGAGGCTTTTGCAGCCAAGCCCCAGCAGTCCTTTTCAGCCTCTTCCGCATTCTCTTCTCCAAGAACACCATGCCATCTGGCTAAGATAACCAGTTGCTCCCACCCATTAGGGCCTTTCCACACCCCTTTCCTCATGAGACTCCAGCCTCCGCTGGAACATGAGCCCCCTATGCCCCTGCCCAGCTCAAGTCTAACATCTTTCTGTAGCTTTCCTGGAGAGTTGATGACACACGCCTTCATCTGCGTCTCATAGAATTTTTCATCTACCTTTCATCTGCTTATCCTCTGTCATAGCTCAGTGCCCAGCCATAGGAGGTGTTCAGTAAAGGTTTCACTGATGGAATTGTTAGACTGGGGGGGAGCCTCATCTTTGAAGAGAAAGATGGAGAGAGGTATAAGTAATGGTCCCCCTGTACCTGGAAGAAAGGGCTCTGCCTCTCCCAGGTGTATTTCAAAGTGAGGCAACAGAACCATGCTGCAATGAAGGCACGTTGGGTTGCTAATGGAAGGACTGGGTGGCCACACAGGTTCCCAGACTCAGCCTTCCATTCAGAGAAACACATTCCAGTTGCCAGCCTCTGCCATCATGCTTGGAACTGATTGAATTTGGGTTTGCATATCCCACTCCTCTACATGCTTCGGATTTGACCATCTAACAAGTGACCCTGAATCATTAGCAAGTGGTTCTTCGTTCCTTTTAATAAACTTTCCATCTAATCAGTGTGCTGCTGGCCCACAGCCTTCACTGCATGCCGTTGGAATGACGCATCTTCCTGCTCGCTGCTTTAACCTAGTTCCACCTGAACTCAAATCTCTCTTTTGGAAAACTGAACCTTCTGTCACCTTTGCGAGCCAAGTTGATAAATTGAGTTTGTTTCTTTCGTTTCTCCTGTTTGATGGGCCTCCTTCCGGTTTGTTGCTTTGAATTTTTATTATGCTTGCTTTGTTTTCTTTATTGCTTTCCCTTCTCTCATTTTGTTTTCTCCATTCTTCTCATTGGAGGCAATGAGCCGTCCAGCGGCCGGAATTCCCCTCTCCCCTACCGGCCAGACAGCCGCCCTCTAACTCCAACTTACGCTCAGGCCCCTAAACATTTCCATGTGCCAGGTAGGAGCTGACACGGTCTATGTCATGGTGTCCTGTCACAGTGTAGAATGTAGCCTTGTCACCTCTGTCTCGTCTCCATTTCTCATGCACTTTCAATTGGGATTCACACCGTTGACAAACCCTAAATTGCAGGATCTGAGCTAGAGGGCCTTTCAAAAGTTTTGTGTGTAAAATGCCAGGATTGTATTGGACGTTTGAGTTTTCTCAAAAATTTTTGGATGGGAATGGGAAGCAGGGAGTGAAGGAGTAAGGGTTGAATTGTTTTGTTTTGTTTATTCTAAAATTTTAATTTTGCCTTTATAGATATCACCCTGTGGTTTGGTGTCATTGATTAATTATCACCAATGACCATCTATCTAGTTACCTTTCTTTTCATTTTGAAGACTGAAGCATAGCGTCACTTCAGAGCACTTTTATTTTTCCTGTTTGCCTCCAGCGTGGAAATTCTTTCCACGGACTTTTCAGAGAGATATAAAATGAGATCAATTAGGTGTTTCTTCTGCAGTGTCTAACTCACTAACTGCCTCCCTAGCCCACAAAGATATCTTGCAATTTAGGCTTGGTGCTGCAAGCTTCGCTCTGTAGTCACAAGCATTTGCTGTCACTGCGCAAATAGTAATTTGCCATCAGGCACTGGAAAAATCAGAACACATCAATATCTTAATGTTTAAGCTCACCTTTATTTGTGAAGGCAAGATTGGCCATTAGAAGTCACAATATTTTCCATCAGAAGTACATTGTTTTGCTTCTTTTAGCTACTGAAAGTGGTTTAATATAATAAATTACCCATTATGTTAATGTTAGTGTACATATTTGGAATTTGTAATAGTTTATTCCTTTTGCATAATAAAACAGAGGAAATGTCAATGAGATTCATACCACTATGATAGGACTGCTTTTTTTTTTTTCAGTTTCATTGAACCTTGAAAATCACTGTTACACATTTGAACATGATGAATGCGTTTAGAATGCCCCACCAAGAAACAGTGTACAAGATTATGGAGAACCCAAGCTTTTGAAATTTCCTGACTATTTGCGCTTAAAGTGAAACGGTAGCATAATCAAATGGGGTCCTGTATATAAACATATAAATAATATTTGGCATCGTTTTTGTTTTTTATTGTAAAATTTGGCCGATAGAAGTCAGGATTTTGTTGAACATCCTGGTAGCACATCAGACTGACGACCCTTGCACACAAAAGCGTTTCTGTGTTTTAGAAAAGACTCTTAATTTCACTACATTGCTTTCCACTGTTTCACTCATTAGTAGAAAAGTAAATTGAGCCACTGGTATTGACCGGGAGCTCAATTTCTAGACAGTAGCCATTTGGGGATTTTCCCCAAACTGGTTACGTCTTCCTCACCATTCGAGTGCCTCCACTGCTTGCGATTCTTCTTGTTTTAATTTCACATTTAGTGACGTATGTATTTGAAATAAATGGCTCATGAATTAATTACATCCCTATATATCCTAAGATGTATTACAAAGGATTTCATATCACTTGTCTATAGTAATTCGCTCATTCCTGTAATTTCTTCTTCTAGTGACTTCAGTCTTTGTAATACAAAAGTTAACCTTCTGGGTTCTTTTTTTGTTCAAGAGTCTTCAGTTTGGTTTGCCTCTTGGTTGATCTGTTTTTTCCCATAATCACACACCTTTGCTTTTCATTTCCACAGATCAAGGGATCAACATTTACCGAAAACCACCCATCTACAAACAGCATGGTAAAACCCGCTTTCCTCCTCGTAGCTTTTAAGTCGCAGCCTCAGCTGAACCTCTCTTTGCTGTCGTCTGAAAGGCTTATCTGCTGCTGCTTATGAGAATCAAACTGGGGCGCCCAGCGTGTTATGCCTTTATGTTCTCCTAAGATGCAAATGTCGTGACATTGGTTTTCCTAGATGGAGAACATCTTAGCTTGGTCAGGAAGCTTCTAGCTCGTTTCTGAGCCCATCAAAGCATGTATCATTCCATTCATAGAGGCGGGACAGTACAGGCCACAGAATAATTCACAAACACCCCACCAAGAGTTTTTTTTTTTTCTTTGCCATTAAATAATTTAACTAACCTTTATAATAACTTTGATCAACTTATAATTTGTTTAATTAAAACTAGTGATCAGTTACCTAGAAAAATTAATTTGACTAAGCCTACATCAGCTTGGCTGTCCTGTTTCTTAGGGGGGCGTGCAGACATCTGTGCCCTGACGGTGGAGGGGACGCAACACACGCTGGAGCAGAGGCCCTAGCCCTCGTCCCATCGCTTCACTTAAACAGCTTTGTGATTTAGGATGTCATGGACACAATTTCTCTGTCCCTCAGTTTTCTCAGCTGTAAAAACCAATGAGTTAGGCTAGTTTGTCTCTAAAATTCCTACAAACTGAGAATCACTGACATGAATTTTTAATTGTGTTTCCCTTTTCTGAGAATATGGAATTTTAAAACCCAGGAGATCACATTACTATATGTAAATCACATTTCCCTCCACCATTATTAGGTCTCTAAAGACTTATCTGCCATAAATCCTTGTGAATGGCTAGAAAACCAAGACTGGTCTTCAGGTGATATCAGAAAAGCATGCACAAATAGCGCCTGGAAATTTGAAGGCTGCCTTTCGAATGCAGTTGACATTAATGAGTCCTTCGAGAGTAGGATACATGAAAAGCAAATAAAATTGAAAATGCAGAAGGAAAATATTTTAGGCCAACCTTCTAGGAAAAAACAGAGAATGTATATATTGTAATGATTCTAGAACAGGGGTCGGCAAACTGCGGCTCGCGAGCCACACGCAGCTCTCCATCTCAAAACTTTGCCAACCCCTGGAAGAACCAGTCCTGTTCCTCACAACAATTTAAAAATTACTCGAGTGTCATAGATATATTTTTACACAATCACTATTATGTGAATAACACCCTTTCAAAATTTTATAAATGAAACTATGATAGTTTTATTTTCGTTTTCAATTTTACTTTAGAGCCTGCGGTGCATGAGCCACAGTTTGCTGACTCCTGGCGGCTCTTCCGTCTCAAAAGTTTGCCGACCCCTGTTCTAGAACTAGGACTTCTTTCCCTCATCTGTTTTTTTGTGTTTTTTTTTTTATATTTTACACCATGTGCTTGCTTTTTTAGTTTGTTAACATTGTTTTTGTTTGTTTTTTATGGTTTAATGTCTTCTCACCCACTCATTAACATGTGAATGTTTACTGACTTCACCAATTCTAACACGTAAGTACTGTTTGAAGTCATGCTTTTTTTTTTAATTTAACAATAAGATTCCCAGTGTTTGAGTTGTCAATTTTTAATTCTAAAATCTCTAGGCCCTGCCTCTCAACAAAAATAATCAGGTAATTAAAACTAAAGATTGGATAATAGTAGATTATCTGGAAGGGATTAATTGACTTCTTGAAATTTACTTTGACTTGACTCTTTACCCTCTTTCAGACTGTCAGGCTTTTATAATTTAGTGAAGAGTAGTACAAACAAAACAGCACTCCCCAAAAGACGTTCTCCAAAACAGCAGTTCCATGAGATTGAAATAGATGTTATACCAAAAGCTGGTAGCTGTGCCCTGATGCATTTGGAAAATGCTAGATTTAAATAAAGTCACACTTTTTTTTTGGTAATGCAGAAGTCAGTTATTAATCTGCTAATACATTTTGTCCTTCTTTAATAAGAGGATAGAGTATGCAGCATTTTCCAAGCTGATTTTTTTTTTCTCATAGATTAGAAATTCAGAGAAACACTGTGCCATGTCTGACGGGGACTTTATGCCTTATTATTATAAAGGGCAACCTTGGTCAAGTCACTTAGGCAAATTAGGATCCAGAATGTTCCTACAAGAAAGGGGACTTGGAGCTGAAGAGTCAAACAGTTACTTCCAGATTTAAACACCTGTGAGCCCAGGGAGGGGGAAAGTTTTATTTAAAGCATTATAAATATTTTTTGCGATGTTCAGTAACATCCCAGGTCAGTTTGCAAGATTAGCTGGAACCAGGAGCTGAGCATTTATCCTGGTTTGTGTTGCTCCACTTCTGTGATTAGATTTGGGGCTATAAGCCAACCACTCCTCTAAGCATAACCATTAAGAACTGTATGAACTAGGCTGCTGCTTGTCCAACTTTTGTTGTTTCAAAGTTGGAGAACTCACTTGTTTGTGCAGACCCTTGAACAAAACAGTGAGTGGGTGCATCAAACCTAAGTCACCATGCTAAATTCCTGCAAGCTAAAAGTGGATTTTCCCACTTCCATTTCCCTTCAGACTCAAGGATGCATATATCATATGTAAGGATTTAAATTGACTGGATCAATATATTTGTGGCAGAGAAGCCACAAAGACAATGCCAGCCAGCCTTCTTATGATTAACAACTGCAGTCAAATGACAGTACCATGCTTTTAACTTAACTATGTAATTTCAAATTACTGATTCAAATTTCTAATTGCTCTAGAAGCGTATTGTCCAATAGAACTCTCTAGGATGATGGAAATGTTCCGTGACTGTTCTGTCCAATACAGTAGCTGCTGACCCCACTTGGCTATTGAGCACTTAAAATGTGGCTATTGCAATGGAGGAGCTGCTTTCTAATTTTAATAATTTTTATCATTTAATTGTATTAATTCCTATTTAAATAACCACGTGCAGCTAGTATTGGACAGCCCAGCTCTAGAACAAGGGTTTTCAGCTATAGAACAGAGAGATGTAAAATGAATCTTAGCTTCTGACAGCACATTAGGAAACTGAGCTGAGTCATCACTTGGCACCACTGAGTGGTGGGCAGTGGCTAAGGGCAATCCCCAGAGCTTTCTGGAGTTGAAACTTTTGCCAGAGAACAAGAAAACTGTGTAAGTGGGTTTACCACCTCGGCCTTGCCGACCGGGAGCTAAGATCCCCCTGATTCCCGCCTAGATGCAGCTGCCTTGGCAGCCCAGAGCAAGTCTTCAGATGACATCATCAAGTTTTCCAAGTTCCCAGCAGCCCAGGCTCCAGACCCCAGCGAGATACCAAAGATTGAGACGGACCACTGGCCTGGTCCCCCCTCACTTGCCGCCGTAGGTATGCAACTATTGCAGCTAAGCCAAATGAACAAATTGCTAGGAGATCTCGAAATGATGAAAAATATGTGAGAAAATGTGTTCTATCATAAAGGTTTTTAAGAAAAATATGACCAAGAGGTAGAATAGTGGATAGAACTGATGTGGTCTTAATGTGTGTACAAAATGCTTCCAAGTTACAAACACCCAATCACCAGAGCCGTATTCTAACGAAACCACCAAGATGCAGAAATGGTCTAAAACGGATAATGTGCATGGACCCTCTTAGTTATCACTGTAAAATCAACAACTCTTTTGAACACCGTTGAATCAATGCCTCTTGGCAAGAACACGGATCTATATAATTAGAATCTAGTGGGTGAATTTACCGAGTGTCCACAGAAGCGTGACTTCTTTCAGTTAAATTCGTTTTAGACTATTTCTGGGTTGTAATTACAGTTCTTTTAACAACCAATCTTAACACTGAAGCACTTTCACTTTTCTTCCGAGGCCTAAGAAGGGCTCTTACAGAGTATTGGGTGTTCTGAAATATTTTTTCCTGGTGTAAAGTTAACGTGATTGTACATCTATCATTTCCATGAATTCTGTGCTAAAATGTCACGTTTGAGCTGTTTCATTCTTTGCTTTGAACCACAGATTTATGCTTTAGAATCGTGTCTATGTCTTTACTGTCTTGTCAATCATGAAATCACTTGGCCTAAAAAGTGGCATCAGCAAACTCAGAAGCTAATACTGAAAATTTAGCAAGGCAGCTTTACAAAGATAGAACTATCTGATCGTATTTCCTTTGACAACCTAAAAGGCCTTCAATTTTCCAAACTTTCCAAGTTTTCTTCATCACACTGTTTTTCATCAAGTTATTCTTGGAATAGACTTTTACAAGCAATATAAGTGGATTTTAAGGCCATTTGTATGTATAGAAATAGTCGAAGGAAAAGCAACCTCTTAGGTTCATTATTCACAAGTATTCTATACGTGACGTTGACTTGAGAGATATATCGAATTCTTCCAAGCTTGTCTATTGATTTTTATTAGTATACACTAAAGAGAGAATATTCCCATTGAGATTTACAATTTTAGGGACCATCATCAGCTTTTCTGTGTCAGTCCATGCCCTTCAGGCAGTGCTGGGGCTTTGAGGTTCCCAAATCAGTCACATGGTTTAGTGGGGACACTACAGCAGACACACTCTTGGGGAGAATTAATATTTTGTTTTTAAATCTGTCATCACTAAGTCGTTTAAAGCTCTTTTGGGTTACAAAAATGTAGACAATTTCTGGTCTGTTAATCAAAATAAGAAAGACTATTAGTTACAGTTGTTTTGATTAGATTAGCAAGCTTTCCTGCTTCCTCCCATAGCCAGATTAATCCAAGCAATTTAGGAAAAACAATAATTATCTTAATTTTCCAACCATACAGATTCCTTCTTTCTACTCCCTGTCTCCTCTTTACCAGGAAGCATAAAAATCGTACATGATTTGCTGTATTTTGCTGAAGTAACTTTTTAGCTATATTGCTGTAACAATTTTTATTGAGTCATTAATAGAAAACATTTTGTGACCACTTTTCAAAGGATTGAGAAAAAGGACACTTCAGAGACCCATCCCTTAAGAGAAAAATAAAAAGCATACTTGTTAATGAATTTACTAAGGGTAGAAGACACGATGATATTAGTATGACATGGCTACATATTCAGGAAAAGAGGAAACTACACGATTTGAAAACTTGTCATACAAGAGTGACTCTCTTACCTATTTAAAGCCATGTAGATGAATCTGGATTCCTCTGTATTTGAAAATTGACCTCAGGGATATCAAAAGAGTGAGTGTAGATGCCCCTCCCACTTTCTACAGAGAGCTGTAACCAGTGCTCCATGGGGCGACCTTGACCCAATCACAGTGGCAACCCTGAGTTCTAATCAAGCACACAAATTATTGGGAGGCCAACATGCATGCCTTATGGATCACACATTCAACTGGCTTGTCAAACAGACCCAGTGTCCTGAGAAAGCAGCCAGTAGTGCTGAACTGGTGGTAGGCTCTTTTTTTCCTTGTGCTGTTTATTGATGTTGAAGACCACTGCTGACTTTGCCAGCCTGCCAAGTTGAGCACAGGTGGACTAGTCCCTTAAGAACCCCTTGCCATGGGGCCGATGTGAGAAGTTGTCTTTGCTGTGGAATTAGGAGCTGACATGAGACGCAGATCTAGTGGCAGAGAGGAAGATGAGGAGGAACTTCTGAGACGCCGGCAGCTTCAAGAAGAGCAATTAATGAAGGTTTGTCTTTAAAGTACTTTGCTGCAGTCTTCAAATCAGTTCCATGCGGCCTGTATTTTTTTAAATGATTACTATGGGCAAGCCACTAAGAGGGGCAAGAAGTGGTCCCAGCACTCAAGGGTTGCATCTAGTGACTATAATAGTACTTAGTAGGTTCTGGAAGAGGTGACCTGGAGGCTGGAAGTTAGAGGGACATGGAATGTTTGGGCTTTTGCAAAGAGAGTGAGACTCTCTGGAGAGCATGTGTGTGTGTGGTGCATGTGTTGAAAGGATGCTAAAAGGCCAGGTAGTGCAACACCTTCCTTCCCTCGTGCAGGCTCTGCTGGCGGAATTCCCTTGGGATTGGGCATTTCTCCTAGTCTTTCCTCAGGACTCCTAGGACCTTGTGTGTATATCTGGGCCAGGAGAGAGGGATAAAATAGACTGCCACGGAGAAGCGCACATTATCCCCTCCCACTTCTGACATGGACCTGCAGCATCCCAGAAGACCAATAGAAGGAAAGCAAATTATAAACTCTCCACCAATAAGGAATTGATGAATCCCTTCAAACGACACTTAACAAAGATACTTAATCATATGGGAAATGTACATGGTGCTAGTTATATGGAGGGATAGGATACAAAATTGCATTTATAGTATGATCCCGGTTTTATATAATATGTGCATAGAAAAATACTGGGTGGATATATATCAAAATGTAAGTGGTTATCTCTAAGTGGTGGATTATGGGTTATTCCTCTTTCCTTATGGATTTTCTAAAATCTACAATGAGCATGTATTACTTTTTTTCTTGTTTTAGAAACAAATGTAATTTCTTTTTCAAAACTATCCTCAATCTCCCCTCCCCACATCAAAAATCCGCACACACCCACACATGCCTCCGGACGTCACCTGCTGGCACTTTGGGGGAGGTACGGGAGGGGGGACATTCTTCTGACATGGAGCCTGACTTAGGGAAATGGAGCCTTGACATTGATTGAAAAGGCTGAGGGGTTGAAAGTCCAAAACCTGGCCCACTTTTCATGAAACCACCAGGCTCTGGGACCGTATGTATCTAGGACTCTTCCCGAGCCAGGAACTTCTTACAGGACCTTCTAAAAAGAAATTGCATTTCCATGCAAGTAATTGCAGACTTCCCTTTCATTTTTCTTTTCTTTGTGAATAGCTCAACTCAGGCCTAGGGCAGCTGATCCTGAAAGAGGAGATGGAGAAGGAGAGCCGGGAAAGGTCGTCCCTGTCAGCCAGTCGCTATGACTCCCCCATCAACTCAGGTGAGCAGTAGACCCACCGCCATCCCTGAGCTGAGCACAGGCCACCTGCCTGCAAGGAGCCAGCCTTGACTGTTCCAGGAAAGGTGGGGCCATTTCTGCTGGAACCCACAGAGTGCTTGCTCTACAGGAAAGGAAGTCTGGGAAACCCACTTCACGTTGACATAGCTTCTAAGCATGTCATAATTCTCCCTTAAATGTGCGTTTCCATCCTGGAAATGGGGGCGCCCTTAGAGGAATAGTCATGTCAGAAGGAGGCAGCGTAAAGGAAATCCATATAGAGAACAGAATGCTTTTCGACTGTAGCGAGCATGAACAACACTTTCTAAGCATTATGATTTCATATTAATGTAGTCAATACAAGAGCTGAAGACATACGGTGTTTGGGGCACTTTTTAAAGAGCTGAAGACATACGGTGTTTGGGGCACTTTTTAAAGGAGATGACTTATATACGGGGCCAAAATAGCCTATCAGGATATTTTTCTCTGCTTATATTTGTCACAGGCCAATTCTCTCTGAAGCCACAAGGTTCCTTCTCCCATGTTCTGAACTAGTGCATACTTTCCTGAGCGTTCCTTTCAAACTGTGTTTAGCGTTGATTGTATGTGAGCATATTTGCTAAACATTATTTCATTTTATATTCAGATTGTGCCAATAAAGTAGGTGGTATTATTATTAGCCCATTTTGCAGCTCGGGAAGTTTTAAGTCACCCATTGTCACACCACTAATAACTAGCAAAACTTGGATTCAGGAGTCCAAGTATCACAACCCCAGAGCCCACACTCTTCACTGGGTGCCCTGCTACTTCTCATAGGTGCCTCCCTGGCATTGATCTTGGATTAGGTAGTGGACTGATCTTCAGAGTTCCATCTAATTCTGTGATTCTGTTCTGTAAGAATATATGGCACTAGATCTACAGGGGCCAAAATATGAAGACTTAAAAAGATGAAATACCATGCCCAAAGATGCCGAGGTATCAAGTAGCAGAGCCAGAACTCAAGCCCAGGTCTGCTTTCCCCAAAGCCCAGCAGTTTAGGAGGTGTCCATGCTGTTGATTGATGAGACACCCTATCCCAGGCCTCTCAGGGGTCCAGCTGTGGTTGGCCAGGAGGTCTTGGTAACTTACATGGTTGCCTTTGGGTCATGATTGCCGCCATACCAGGTGAGGCATGGGCTTATGCATCCAAATAGCCCAGGGTTCAAATTGCTGCTCAGCTATTTACAAGCTGAGCAACCTTGGGCAAGATACTTAACTTTTCTTAGCTCCTAGGTCTTCTCCTTTAAAATGGAAATAATAACAGTGTTATTAGGGTTGTATTGAGGATTCTGAGAGAAAACCTGCAGAGCACTTCTCCCTTACCCTCCCCCCCCCCTCGGTAATATCACTGCCCACCCATTCCCACATCACCCAGTACAGTGGCATTTGGTGAACATTTGAGCCCAATACTATTGAGATTATTTTTTTTCTAAATCTTCTAGTTTGCAAGGTAGAAGCTCCACTGCCCATTTCACTAAAGAATCAGACTTCCGGTCTCCTAACGATTGCTTTTTTACCTTTTTCTCATTTAGTTCCTCATGCTCTGTCATCGAAAACCTCCTCTCTCCCAGGCTATGGAAAAAACGGGCTTCACCGGGTAAGATTTCTCAGTCAGTTGTTTCTGAGTTGATTCTCTCTTTCGTCCTGGCTGAAGTGCTGATATATTGTCTGAATATGTCTGTCACCATGATCTCAGTGTTGGAATATAATGAAAACTGTAATCTCCCTGATCTCCTGGTAAATCACTCTGAGTTACGGGCGAAATAAAATATGTCTATTGAGAGAAAGAGAAATTGACTTTGGATAAGAGAATAGCCTGTGTAAATTTATGGGAAGACTAGATGAAGGAATAGGGTGGCAAATATTTCTACCATCAAGCAAAAAAGTAATTACTTGAGTCGTTATCTCTGCTGTAAAAAGATACAGGAAAGTTTGTTGAAACCATCATCCCCATAATGCATGGAATATGTGGAGAAATGCATTTTATCTGCAAGAGATACTTGCTTACCAAGGACCTTCTAAGCAGTGGCACTGAATATACTACGAAAGACAAAGAGATTTCATAGTACTAGAAGAAGACAGGAAAGAAAATTGTGAGGGTCCAGGAATGCTTAGGTTTTGTGCACTCTTATTTTCATTTCACCTGACTCCAAAATAATCACTGTGGGGGAGATGTTCTAATCCTGTGTTTTTTCTCATTCCAGCCTGTTTCTACAGACTTTGCTCAGTACAACAGCTACGGGGACGTCAGTGGGGGCGTGCGAGGTGAGGACCTGCAGCCGCACCTCTGACTGATGACGACTGAGGGGAGGCGAGGCTGCGTGGTCACAAGCACGTTGGCTGGGCTCATGCTCTAGTACATTCTGAAGTGGGATCACGTCTGTCCTCTGTGAGCTAACAGAGCCTTTATTCAAATCTCAGAGGATCTCTAGTGCAATGAGACCACGAGAAGCGAGTTTGTAAGAATGAATTCGTTGCTCCTGCTATGTGCTGAGCACTCAGTGGAGGTGCAGCAATGGCCTCTACCTTCCAAAGTGGATATGGTGGAGTGAAAGGGAGAGAGAGCAGCTCCGTGTCATAAGTGCCCTGATTGGAGGTGCAGATTGAAGGCAGAACCACCATCAGGGTGTTGGGGAAAGTGTCCACAAGGAAAAGGTGTTTGAACTGACAGCTAAACCCAGAGCAGCCGTTTCCTGGCTTCAGGGAGGTAGATGGGGCAGTGTGTGCAGAGACCCAGAGCGGGGAGAGGACATAGGTCATTGGGAACACTTGGGGAATTACAATAGAATAACGCCTCTTTATTAATATGTCATGTCTCTCTATGGTCTTTCCCTTCTCATATTTTCTTTTTCTTTCCTTTCCAGACTACCAGGTACGGAACTGTCTTTCTTGAGTTGGCCACACCAGCACAACAGCCATTTTTCAATCCGGATGTGTGTTGCTGCCCCAGGGAAGGATTTCTCTTTAGGAGATGCAGATTTGGGGTGACCTGTGTAATCATTTGTCCATAGCCGTGAGGAGCAGGGATGGCTGTGCACAGATGAAGCTTTCCCTGCAGGCCGTGGGGGCGTGGCATGAGTCAGGCCGGGCGCCGGAGGACTCACTGGCTCCGGCTTTGGCGCATCCTCTCTGGGGTAGAAGTGGACCAGCATCTGGGGTCCATTCACATAGTTTATTTTCTTTTAGTTACAGCCACTCAGCATTTTAGGCCTTTCCTCCTTCGATCCCAAGTGAAAAGAAACTCCTGCCTGGGCCAAAAGGAAAGAGCTGCTGTGGCACCATTCTTTTTTTCCTAGAACTGAAACCTTGTAAAATTATAATGGAGAATGAGAAAAGGAAAAATATGCAGAGAAACCTAAGATAGAAATAAGGAATTAACAATCATACACTTGGCAGTGTTTTTTGAGGTACCGTACACTTTCATGCATGGGCCCTAAATTCAGGGAGTAGTCAGTGCTAGTAAGCCAGGACGTCTCCCCAACGTGATTATAAAAGAGCAGTATCCCTGCCCTTACTCAGCAAGGATCTCGTTTTGAAAATCCCATAGTAATTAAGATGACAACTCTATAAAATGGTGCTGAGGACTTAAGACCCCAACAGGGAGGTTTGGGAGCCCAGAGCTCTCGCCCCAGCTTCCCTGCTGTTGTGTGCTCCTTGAACCAGCTTTTCTGTTGCAGACCCTCCCAGATGGCCACATGCCTACAATGAGAATGGACCGAGGAGTGTCGATGCCCAACATGTTGGAGCCAAAGGCAAGTGCAGCTGTTCACTTTCCTCTCATATGGGGATGACAGCTGGGACATAACCCTAAAAAGACTTGGTCTTCTGTCTTTTCACCATTCTCAGACTGTTGATGCCCACTGGCTCTAGGCTGGGGCATTTGACTAGCCATGTCATAAAGCGCCTTGCCATTCTGCTGGCTTTGTCACACCAAGTCATCAAGCTTAAGACCTCACAGGGCATGGTGCTGTGTCTTCCCAGTGAGGCACCAGCACATTTCCTATGACCTCGATATTAATGTGGCCCCTGCCTTGAGCACTGCAAGGCATGCCTAGTGCTGAGTGGAGCTGCTGCAGACCACTTTATATTGGGCGACCGACACGTCCCAGTTTGCCCAGGACGTTCCCAATTTTAGCCCTGGAAGCCTTGTATCTTAGGACCCTCCTCAGCCCAGGGCAAACTGGGAGGGTTGGTTACCCTAGCTTCAGAGCATCCTGAGGTGCCCACAGGTCCAGAGGTGTCCATAGGCCGTGCTCCCTTGGGACCATAACTGGCACTTAGTTCAGTGTGTCATCCACCAGCACATTGCCCTGGGCCTGCCTGGCTCCATGGGACTGGGAGCCAGTCATGGAACTAGATTGTCAAAGTATACATAAAGGCATCCTGCTGTATCAAAAATGCCCCTATAATTTCAATTCTCTTCTCATTTTCCCTTTCATCCCCAAGACACAGTAATTCACATAGTTTCACACTACAGAATCCCCCCCCCCCCCCCCCCCCGCAAAGGCACGGTGCGTGAGATACTGGTGGGGTGGTGTTCATTTGGAATATGTAAGAACTTAGCCCTGTACACTGGAAACTTGAGAGAGGAACACCCATCACTTAAGATGCTCTAATTATGATCTCTTAGAAGCTCTATCTTGGGAGTACCAGATTTTAGGTAGGTTCTTCTTGTTAATAAAATGGACAGCCTTGTTCTAGAAGAGGTGTTTTTCTTTACTTCTCAGATATTTCCATATGAAATGCTCATGGTGACCAACAGAGGGCGCAACAAAATCCTGAGAGATGTGGACAGAACCAGGCTGGAGGTAAAAAAACAATAATAAAATAAAATAAATCTAGTCCCAACTGCAAATCCCTGTGCATTTCTCCTAAAAAAATGTTTCGGTGAAGGCAAAAAAAAATAAGAGGCTCAACCTCATACTGTAAGTAGAATTAAGAGATAACTTTGGAGGACACCCCAAATTTATACTTAAAAAGATCAGCATAAGTAAAATCCAGAAGAATGACCCAGGAGACACAGCAGGAGTTTAGCCATTTTCTTTGGAAACGTGATGCCGCCATCATTATGGCTGGTGGTGTAGAACGGAGTCTCTGTGCCTCGGTAGGTCTCCCCAGATCCTTACCTTTCTCGGAGCCTGGGTTGAGTTCTTTGAGAGAGGGGAGGGGGCACTCAATAAAGAGGTTTGTGCTGGACAAGTTTGTCTCCTGGCTGCTTCCGCATTCCTTGTTGAGGGTTATCTGGGTACACGTACCCAAGACCTCCTTAGACATGGAAGACTGATCTCTGTATGTTTCCATCTGAATGATTTTAATTAAGAGAAGCTCTGGCTGCCAGCCTCCTAAAGAATCATTATTTTTCCCTGACAAAAGGCAGTACCTTTGTCCATGAGGTCAGCCTGGCACAGAGAATAAAGGCTCCAGTATTCTAAGGGAACTTTTCTAGGAGGGATGACCGATGGAAGCTCTCCTCTCCGAAGACCAGGCGTCCACCTCAGCTCCTGTGCTGAGCCAGGAGGAGCCCGGGGGCTCCCTAAAGACCCCTCTGAAAGTCTCTTTCTCTGGTTTTCTGACTACTACGGTCCATTTTCTCTACATCTTCTCAACATCCCAAGGACCTGAAGTAGAGTCACCTCCAGCAATAATAAATCACCCTCCTATGTTCCCTCACCATTCGTTGTTCTCATAATAATTGCTAATACTCCGCCAGCTCTCTTGTGTGGTGGGGAGGACGCCTCACCTGGCCCGGCCAGGAAAGGAATGATAACTGGGTCCCGTCAGCGCCAGTTAACAAGCCTCAGAGGTACACCCCTCTGCCGTCATTCTGCCTTGCTCTTCAGGATGATTGCTTGTAAACTGAAGAGCAACTCTCAAGGTCATCCGCATGGACCTAAGCACTGACCACAGCTCTTTTCTCCCTTCACAGCGCCACTTAGCCCCAGAAGTGTTTCGGGAAATCTTTGGAATGTCCATACAGGAGTTTGACAAGTTACCTCTTTGGAGACGCAACGACATGAAGAAAAAAGCAAAACTCTTCTAGGCCCTACACGTAGACAGCAATCAGAAAAAGAACTAACAATGGTGGGGACACATAGGATGTTGTATTAAGGCCCAAACCTGATTGGAGATTTTTGCCAACTTCTGTCCCTCAGCAACAGCAACGAGGGAAAATCTGATTAAAACACCCACAAGCCAAACATTGGGCCAGCCAGCGGCAACACTTGCCAAGAAGCAATGGGGTAGAAATTTCTATGTCCCCACACTCGACAGCAGTGCTCACACGTGACCTTTCTACGTCACCTTATGTACCCAACAGGAGCCACTTCTTTTGTTTCCCTTTAACTGTCGTCCAACAGTAGTGCTGACTGTATGGATAAGAGCCCGCAAGTGCCCTTAGGATGCCGCATGGAACAAAGCAGCTGTCATAATTCCAAAGTAGGAACATATTTATTACGTAGCACTGTGGCTAAGAAGGAAGAGCCTGAGGGACATATCCATGTGGTAGCAGCCATTTTGCACACGCCTCTCCACGCTGGCCTCCTGCAGCTCTCTGCCTGTGCTCCGGTAGGATGGAAATCGAAGTCGGGGAACCCTGTGGCTTGGTCGGAGTGGGCTGCATAGCAGCCGGCATCGTTTTTAACAAGCTCCTTCACTGTTTGCTAGGACCTGGTTCACAAGTTACTTAGGTATTACTAACAATAACAACAAAAATTTTTAAGAGAAAGAGAAGGAAAGGGAATGAGAGGAACACCTCCCTTAATTCTTTTTCTGCTTCAGATGGTATGCTTCATTTTTCTTCCCCACCTGGGACGGGAGCTGTCTCGGGTCCCCTTCTGCAAAGAAAGGAAAGGGAAAGATTGTCTCCAGATTGGTTCAGTTGCATGCTGTTAGATGATTTTTGCCCAGGGGCCATAGCACTCTTGGCAAAAAGGAAGTCCTGTGTCTTCGCAACGCAAATTCTTCCACCCCATAGCCCTGCTCTGTTTCTGCCATCCTCTCAATCAGATCCCACCCACGCTGGTTTGGGGCCTTTTTCGGGTCTTTTCAGTAGTAGGCTAAGGAAAAGCATGGCTCTCTGTTTTAAGTCTCTGCAACTCCAAGGTCGATTGCCTCCAACCGATTTAATTGGGCCTCTTCAGCTCTCCTTGTGGCCTGGCCCTGTTGACCTCATGGCATGTATGTGTGCGCATGTGTGTGTGCGTTGCACCCACTGACATATTTTGCAAACGGCTCTGATGGGGAGGGCTCGAGGAGACCAGTTCTTCCTTGGTCTGTAGCCAGACTGCAGAGCGTGCAGTTTTGCCTTCATATGTCAGTTGCCTCTTGGCTTCATTCAGTGTTTCTGCTGCCCCATCTTCTCTCTGACCTGCCCTGCAACTGGCAGCCTGTGGGTCCCAGTCCTTCCTTTGCTCTGGCAAAGTGTGAGGGGTTGGGACCCCTGTGTATTCCCAGTGTTTTCCTCCCACAATCAATGACGAGGATGGCTAAGTGGGTCCCAGTGCTACGCTGTCAGGGAGACTTTTTTTCATTATGGGGGTAATAAAGAGCCCTGAATGTTTTCCTTGGTTAATGAGCTATGCCCAGTGCAAACGCGGGTCAAACATCAGTGCAAGAAGAACTGCAATGATAGTTAAAAAGCTGAACCCCAAATCTGCTCCCTCTAATGAAACTCTTCTTGCGTCTTTTGAATTCAGTTCTGCCTCCAACTTAGAGGGAAGAAAAGCTTCTTTCCATACCAAGTGTATTAGCAAATTTAAACAACACACTCCCCGGCAGAAGGCGCCAGCTGGAGGGATGGGCCATGCGGCCACCTGCTTCTCCCAACTGCCAAAGCCAGTACGTGGGCCACGACACACTATCCGTTTTGTTAAACTGAGCTCAGCATGCTTGTCCTCAAAACGTCCAGGCCACTACACCCCAGGGGTCAGCGTTCTCTGCTTGGACCCCGCCCTGCACTGCACATCAGAATTCCAGTTGTTAACACAGTCAAATGAATGCAGGTTGTTCGCTCTCAGAAAGGAGTCCCACACGTGGCAGGCTTCCCAGGTGCATACATGAAGGGCTACATTTCTGAGCGTTGGGCTCCCTTGTGATTCTTTCAGCACGCTGATTATGTGGCGTAAAAGAGGCCTCTGTGGCAATACGAAAGTCAGTGCTCCCTTTAAAGTTTCTCCCAGAAAAGCCAGCACACCATTTAATCTTCTTGTGTGATTTATGGTGAGACGTGAAGAGCACAGGGAAAGCTTGTACAGCTAGCTGTGCATTTGGGTTTGCGTTAGTTATGGAATGTTCGTAATGTGACTTTTTCAGTAACTGAAGATAAACTGCCTGTTCTCTGAACCCTTGAACAGAGAAGCTAGAGTTAATGGGTAATAAGGTGAAGAAAGGGGGAAAAAAAAAAAAAGTAGTTTTTATCTCTCATGTCCTCTCGTCTCTCCCCCTCCTCCCAATTGTGCTTCCAAGCTGAGTTTCCTCTTCTGAGGTGAGATTGCAGCAACTCTTAAGCCCTCATCCTCTCCATCTGGTTATGTCAATCAACTCTACTTGGAGAAGTCTTTGCTGGAAATGTTTATAAAACTTTCACCTAATTTCTTTACACTTGAAAGCAAACACGTTTTTCTAAAGAATGGCTTCTCAGGTGATTATATAAAATATGTACGCTTTTGCAAGTTTAAAAAATTCAAACTAACCACTTTTGACTAAGCAGGTCTTTCTAAAAACTCTTTTAATCAAGCTTGGTGTGAGCGTTCCCCTGCGTGTTGAAGGGGCAGGCGACCCTTCAAGGGTGGGCACCCAGAGCCCACTCTCGGACAGGAAAGATGGCGTAAGGATCTTGAACCCTACGTCACTGGCCGTTCTGCGTCCTCTGAAGCAAGCTCAGTTTTTACAAGCCACCTCTTCTGCATTTCTGGCCACTGTTTAATCCTAAACAGGAAGTAAGTGGCTTACTTCCTAAGCCAGTTTTCATTTTATTTGATTTTTGAAAGTATTTTCCGTTGCCAAACCAAGTGTTTGTGAGTATGCCCTAAAACTCACTCATTAGTACTCTTAAAGAATGTCCTACCAAGAAAAACAAATTATTTTGGACTTGAGATTTGCAATGACACCACCTTGTAGGGATGTACATTAAAGGACCCAACTATGTTTTTTGAAAAGAAAGAGAAACCTTTCCTTTAGCATTAAAAAAAAAAAAAAATCACTGTCTTTCCATTTTCTGCCCAGGGAACTGTGTGGAGGTGATGGATACGCTTTGCATATGGATTTTTGTGTTTTTATTTGGGCAAAGTTATTAATGGCAAACTAAAAAAGAAGGGGAGGAGGTCAGTTTAAGCTGAAAGAAACTTTGTAAGCAATATATGTGTCCACAGCAAAATTAAACAGATCCAACATGTTCTGACGCTTAGTGTAATTGAGTGGCGATTGTTATCATTAAATGAAATTCTTCCCCAAAGCGTCTCTCCCAAGAGTGAAGATCCCATGAGTCACTTTCTAGGCCCAGTTCACCGAAGGTAGGAGGAGACGACACAGTTACACTAACATTCGGAAAGGTGGTAGCTGTTCAACCCATTATACGTGCATATGTTTCCTCACCCTAGGGAAGAGAAAACAGGTGTCCACAACATTGAGATTCTGTGGGGGTTTTATGTACAGACCCATCCGGTCATGAATGTGTGTGGTTTCTCTGAGTGGCCAGGAATCTTGTCGAGGTTCTCTCTGTTCTCCTATACTTTCAGTTGGGTTTATGGAATTTTTCTTTCAAGTGTTGGACGGCCTGCCGTCCTCCCTGCCCTGCCCCCCCCCCTTTCTATGAAAGCAAGTATTTGGAAGAACTGCTGTGTACAAGATGTGTCGTGTCCCCCGTGAAACTGAGTGGGTGTCGGTCTGCACCCCGAGTACCGCGCGCTGGTCTGCAGAGGCGGCCAGTGGGCCCACACGGCTGCGCCTAGGGCTCCCGCCCGCCCCTCGCCCCTGCTGCCAGCAGCGCTCGCCGCTCTGTTGTGCTCACAGTGCTGAATAAAGTGTGTGCTTTATTTGTCAATGCCTCCATGCCGTGCTTCCTTTCTTGTTCCCCTGCTCCCTTTAAAGGTCGGTCCCATTTGAAGAAGTACCAGCCCTACTTCCAGTAACCCACACAAAATCAGAAGCGAACAGGCGCTTTAGGAATGCGTTTTTATCGTGTAGGACGGCCGGTTAGAAGGCGGGAAGTGCAACAAAATAGTCACCGGGTATTCCAGGACTGTCTGTCCAATTATCCAGAGTGCAGTGACCAAGTCGACTACAGAAAAAGAATGGAACAGAGCTGTCGCACTGGGTGGTGCTTGATTTTGTTTGTGACACAATCTCATCTTTGCAGGGGGAGGGGGTTGAGGTTTGAGGGCAAAAACTGAACTGCCATGAATGGGGGCCGTTTTACTGAGAAACTAGAACGCAATGGGAGGAAATCGTCTTTCAAATCTTGGACCTCCCCTGCATTGCCAAATTTCCAGTGAAGAAAATCTAGATTTTTATTTAGCTGATCGTCAGTGCCAAGATTTGGGGGTTGCCAGAAAATAAAAGGATCTGTTTATATTCCAGATGACCTACTGTGCTCATAGCCGTTCTCCTGTGTGTCTCTCAAGCCTACTGCCTTAGTTGATTTGGGCTGCTGTAACTATACCGTGCACTGGGTGGTTTGAACAGCAGACATTTATTTCTTACAGTTCTGGAGGCTCGAAGTCCACAGCAGTCAGGGTGCTGGCAGGTCAGGTGTCTGTTGAGAGCTGCTGGGTTTGTAAGTGGCCCCTTGTCTTCTGGCTGTGTCCTCACATGGTAGAGAGCCCAGAGAGGAGACAGGCTCTCACGTCCCTTCTTAGGAAGGTATGAATCCCATCGTGAGGGCTCCACCCTCATGATCTGCCTTCCAAAGGCCCTGCCTCCTAATACCTGCCTATTGAGGATTAGGGTTTCTGCATAGGAATTGGGGCCACACAGACATGCAGTCCCTGACACCTGTCAGTGGCACTGGCACTAGCATCCATGCGGACCCCCACCCGGAAGCAGAAAATAGGTTATTCTGGAGTCAGCCAGCATGTTTAGTTCATACTATAGAAAATGCATCAAGAGGCCCGGCTGGAGGTCTGAGTTCTACTCATATCTGCCTCTCCCCAGACCAGCATCACACTTCAGTCCATAATGACCGCAGCCAGTGTTCCCCTTTAGTCCTTCGCTCGTGCTCTCTGTGGCATTGGCCACTACTGATCACCATGCTGTTGAAAATCGACTCCTGCCTCACTTCTGTGGTTAAGCCCTCACACACTCACAGCAAGCTCACAAGACCCTGTTGGGAATCCCGGGCCCTTCAGGACCCACCCTGCCTCGCCTACTGCTCAGCTTCCTCTCCCCAAACGCCCCACCTTCGAGTCTTGTCCTCCAGCTCTTCCAACCCGCTGAGAGTTCCGGAACATGCCATGCCCTCTCCCGCTTCTGCAGCTTTGCCAGTGGTATTTCTTCTGTACAGTGTCCAACTCTTCAAGGAGGTGGAGAGCAGAGAGGATCTGGCCCCCGGGAAAGGAGGCTATGGTAACTTGGACTATCTGGAATCAGTTGCCCATAGCTCTTTGGAGTTACCGTGTGGCTTTCCCAGGGGCTCCATTGCCCTCACTCAAAGACAAGCCTGAATTCACACCCGCTCTATGGGCCTGTCTTGATGGGCCCAGCCCAACCTGCCCAGTACATTCTTTGCATGCCTGTGGTTGAACATCACATTTGATACTTTGCAAGTGCTGCCTAGCACTGCTGGCTTTGCACGTGTTTTTGCTCCTCCGTTGAATCATAGTGAGATCTTCTGTATGTCGAGAGCCGGGCTTTGTGTTAACTGTATCTCTCATGACAGCCCTGCAAGACAAATCATTGTAGCCCCACTATGCAGATGAGGAAACCAAAGCTCAGAGGCCAGTTAAGCACGCCCAGTGACTCAGGCCAGTGAGCACAGAGCTGGGATTCCCCAGGTCGGTCCCACCTCAAATTCCATGCTGTTTTCCTCTGCGGCCCACTGCCTGTGTGACCTCACACACTCACAGAGGAGGTTCTCAGGGTGAGATTGGCCTGCTCTTTTCAGTCTGACCATCAGCCCCATCACCACCACCAAGGCACAGTTATGAACAACAGTTGGGGGGTCCTCAGTAATTATGAGTCTTAAGTTCAGTTATTGAGCCTCTCTCTGAACCTCAATTTGTTCATCTGCAAAATGGACAAAATAATACCCGTCAGAGCATTGTTGCTAAGTTATGATAACATGTTGAGCACAGTGCAGGGACCAGCACAAAGTAATTGCTCAAGAAACCTTAGTGATCTTTATTAAGAGTAATCGGCCACTTGACTTGAACTCTATCAACTCTTCTGAGCTTAGTTTCCTCATCAGTAAATCAGGAGTGGATACCTGCTCTGGCTCTCTTACGGGGCTGTGAGGCCAAATGAAGTAAGGAGAGTGCTCAGACCCAGGAAAACATTATGTTAACAGATGGGGTTGGGTAATGAGGGTTGCTTGGTATTATTTTAAGTAGTTTAATCATTTGAGAATTTTAATTTCTGTTCTGGGCTTTCCCCCTACCCCCTAGTCTTTATATGAATACTCGAGCATAAAAAGAGTCCACAACATCAAGAACAGCCCTCTCTCTGTGCAATAAAAGTCTGAGATTGAGATGCCCTGAAGATATGCTGAAGAATTAGTAACAGTAACAAAGTATCACACGGCAATTGAGTGCAGGCTATGGAGTCAAACTGCCTCGGTTTGAGTCCAGCTCCAGCAATAACGAGCTGTGTGATTCTCTAAACCTCAATTTCCTCTTCTATATAATAATAATAATGATGATGATACCTATCTCAAAGGGTTATTGTGAGAATCACGTAGAGCAGGACCCAGCATGATACAAAATAAGCACTCAGACATTAGCTTTTATTAATAAAGATGCTGCCCTGTAATTAGGACTTATTATTTGTCTCGTCCTGAGCTCAGCATGTTACATGGCTTATTTCACATAGCTCCTTACATTCACCTGCCCCCCACCCCTATTCCTCCAGCGCCAAGCCCAGTATGTGGGCACACTCATGCAGAGAAGGGATCAGGGGCTAGGCACTGGCCAGTCAGGGTGGCAGGCTGCTCAACATGGAAACCTCCCAAGGTTTCCCAGCTTGGGACTCAGCTCTGCCCGAGGGATTCTAGAGCAGTCAGGCCCAGCGCTTCCTGGGTGGGGAGCATGTCCCTAGCCTACTGAAGGCACCCTTAGAAACAGCAGCTGGAGAAGTGAGGGGACTCATTCCCATGAAAGATGGCTTTGGTTCCAGAAAGATCTTTCCAATTATATAACTCGTTTAAAAGCAATCAAAGGCAGCAGAGACTGAGCTACCAGTCCTCATAGTAATTGGGAACATTTCCTCGGCTCCAGAAAGCCACCAGTCCGAATCAGCCCCTCCTGCCAGTCTCTGGAAGGGGGCTCCTCCTCCCCGCAGAGCCAAACAGCCACGCCTGGGTATGTCGCCAGCCCTGCCCTGCTGGAGGTGGCCCATTGTTGGCCGGAAAGCCCTGGGAAGGGTGGAGACTTGTTGCTGGCAGCTTTTGAGAAAGCCCAGGGTGGTCAAAAGACTAGTGCCCACAGCTTCTGGGCCACCCAACCCCCACCTTGACAACCTGCTCCCTCAGCCAAAATTCCCTTTGCCCCTGCACTAGGCCAGGACTGTGATAAAAAAGCGCCCTTCCACTCCTCACCCGCTCAGGGGGAGGGCTGTAGCAGGTCTGGCTCTGAAGGACGGTGTAATATGACCGTATTTATTTTACTTTTTTAATCTCAACTGGATGAAAATGCTCTCCAGGGCCTGCCATTGTACTGAGCACAATGGCAGGCCCTGGAGAGGCTTTTCAATGTTTATTTGTGCTGTCCCCCTGCTGCCGCCTCTTAACTCAGCCCTTCCCTTCAGATAAAAAGAAAGTTGGCTTGGAAAGCCCTCCCTCCAAAGCAAAGGCTGCTTCTGCCTTGTCCTTAGGTGATTTACTGGTGGGCTCTCCCAGGACATCCCGAAAGGCTGGAGGCAGGGCCACGCCTCTCAGCTTCCAGACGGAGCTTGGGAATCAGGCTCTGGCCTCCATAGTCCAGATGCTACGAGGATGGATAATGGTGGTATGAAGGCAGCAGGTAACATTTTTTGAGGACCTCTGGAGTGCCAGGTGCTGGGCTCAGGAGTTTGTATAGATTATTTCATTTAATCTGTGCAGGGTAACCCCAAGACTGGGAGAAGCCTACTGAAAAATGAGTGGGATTCTAGCCCCTCCCATCAAGTCCAAAAGCTACATCCGCCCTAAGGCTACCACAGCTCCCTGGGGTCTCCACTTCAGCACGTGGTTTGCTCACAATTGGCCAAAAGGGCCATCTTTGCAAACACTGATACCAGCCCTTCTCAGCAAAGTGGAGCCTGGCCGCAAATAACATTTTGCTGTAAACTGGATAGATGCTGGCCCAGGAAGTATAGGTGAAAAGTTAGGCAATGTTGATGGCTGTTACACTCCCATCAGACAGGAGTAAGAGTCCGCTGGATTACCCTGTGTTGTTGTGCTTGTTTGTTAATAGAACAAATGCCCCCGTCCTTCACATAAAACCAAGGCATTTTGGGCAAGGCAGAATAAATTGCTAGTCTTTACTAATCACTATTTTAACCAAATGGCTTCCAGTGAATGTGGCCATTTCACAAGCATCGCCTGTGATTCCCACAAGCAACCTGGGTAAGTGTTGTCCACAGTACACAGATCAGAGGTTGCCTGACTTGTCCAAGGTCACATGGGGCATTGGGGAAGGGAGCCAAGATGTGGACTCAGGTGTGCAAAGCTCACAGCTCAAGGAGATCCTGAGTTGGTAGGTCTGGGGTAGGAGCTGGGAAGCTGTATCTGAAAACAAAATTTAAATGTCTCCAGGTGATTCTAAGATCCGTCAAGTTTGGGAACCTCTGCCCCACACTGTATGGTCTCCAGCCAAGAGTGGAGCTAGTCTGTGACTCACCAAGCACCCATCACTAA